TCGTGGCCTTCTCAGCCTCAATGGCAAGCTTGAGAAGGAGGAGAGAGCGCAGAGAGAATGCTTTAAGTCAAGAGTGTTTTAGGTGGGTTGTTGATCGTCGAAAGTTTGGTTTTTAATGTCTTTTTTTTTGTTTTTTGTTTTCTCCTTTTGTTAATGTGTTTTGTATTAATGCTTTTTTCTTTCAATGTTTATGTTCGTAATGTAATGTATTGTGTTTTGTTTAAATGTTTGTAGATCAAGAACGTGAAATAATTAAAGATTCCCGAGACGGTGTTGAGTGTTCTAGTTATTGATAGCTTAACAAGTTGTTAGTATTGTTTTCTATTGTCACATTTACTTGTTAATTAGTTTCATTAATTTAACAAAGTAGAAAACCTTTTCTGTTTAGAAGGTTCTAACACATTCTTAAACAAGTAAAAAACTTTTTTAGAAAAGATTTTCACTTGTTTAGGTAGGTCTTCGTGTTTAACAAATTGGAAACGTTCCTAGAAATAAGTTTAGGAAAGATTTTCATTTGTTTAGGAAGATTTTTCTAAAACATTCCTAAACAAGTAGGAAACCTTCCTAAAAATAAGTTTAGGAAGGATTTTTACTTGTTTAGGATGGTCTTACTAAATAAATAGAAAACCTTAGTAAGAATAAATTTAGAAATGATTTTGAATTGTTTAGGAAAGTCTTCCTAAACACTTTCCTAAACAAGTAGGAAACCTTGTTAAAAATAAGTTTCATCTTATTATCTCATCTTTAGTGAAATGGTTCAATATCCTTTTAGTAAAATAATATATATTATTTTTCTGTAAATCAACAACCTTTTAACAATAGTTTGACACAAATATTATTTAATTTTTTATGTCTTTTATATTTTTATTCATTTGTTCTTATACGTATATTCATTTTACATATTTTTCAATTTTTAGAATTAAATATATAAAATTTTATCGTTGTCTTAAGCTCATAATCAAATATATTTATCGATGTAATTTTAAATATTCAAATAGTTTTATATGTACTACTTTTAGTTATTTGTTGACTTATTTTCGTTTTTATTTAATTAGAAATTTTAGAAGGTATAAGTGACA